CGTCGTGCAAACAATAACTCTGCTCATTACTGCATAATATACTGTTACATGAATACATACTTGTTACTATATGTCTTGTAAACATTTGACCCATTTGAAAAAATGAAACTTAATTAGAAAGCGTATTAAAACAAATATAATATCATTATTTCTATATTTCAAATATATATTCTATATATTTCAAATATAATATCATAGTTATGTATAAATTAATTCAACATCATCCTTAGGGACAAACATTTCTGCCAAATTTAAAACCAAATATTTTAATTGTATTATTCAGAAGAAAATGTTAATGTACAGCACACAGCCCTGTTGGAATAAAATTATCTTTCAAGGATATTACAAGAGCACAGGGATTTTGTTTTACAAGATTTCCTCAAGACAAAATGTAATTATTACGATTCGGTTTTTTCCCAAATGTAGAAGTCATAAACTACGATTTACCTGGAATGAAACGATATTTTAATATAACATTTTATAAATATTAAACAAGTTTTCCTTTATCTAGCCAAGTCTTTTCTAAGTACTATAATTCCTGTAATTTAATATAGGTAATGAAGTGAGGTTGAAAAAACCCTTCAAACTAGGAAATTCATTTCTATGAGCTTATATTTCATTTCTGTCCTTGTTTGCCAGAAGAAAAGATTAAACCTATGCAGTACTAAGACAATTCCATTAAAAATCTACTGTTTGTGACCAATTTTTATTCCCTGTCACAGATTTCAAGAAGATCCAGTAAAAACACTTCATTAATTTTGGAGAATTAACGTACAATATTTTAAAATAACTATTTTTTAAAGGCAACACTGTTTTCTATTTTTAATATTCAATTGACATAATCTAGACCGGTGATTCTCAACCAGGGTGCTGGGGAACCTTGGGGTGCTGCCCAATCTTTTGGAGGGTGCCATGAGGCATGAAGAGATAAGCAAGGTGTGAGGAATTAAGCATATTGGCTAAGTAGATAAACCCTGGCTCAGGCTTGTCCCTGGTTGAACAATCCCACAGTGCCACTTCCCATTTTCTCTACAAGGAATTAAGTACCATGATATATGAATCAGTTTTTTAAGTTGAGTGCCACTTAATTAATAAAAGTTATTGGGGGGGGGCAGGTCCTGAGTCCAGTCAGAGGCACAATGAGCCCCAAAATGTCGAGAACTATGGCTCTAGAATAATACTGCTATAGAAATGGAAGCCAGTAAGTCCTGAGCTTGTAGGTCTCCCACTGACTCTCTGCCAAATACTCAGCACAGAGAGTTTCTACCTCCCTAGTACATGCTGGGTTAAAAGACTGATATTTACTTCATGCAAATATTACAAGTCTCAATTAATTTTAATATTGTACAGTGCTGAATCTCCATTAAGTAGTCTTGGGCCAATCTCACCACCTTGTTTCCCAATCCTTAACAAGCAAAACTCCCATCAATTAGGAGTAAGGATCTGAGGAAGAACTTAAGATTCTCATCCACTGATTGGAATATCCCATGGAATGAAGATAGTCACAGAGATGGGTTTAAGTGGTAGGTCAAACTTCATTAATACAAGGAAGAAGCACCCACTGCCCTGCCCCACCATCAACCTTTCATTTGGGTTACTACAATACAACTACCCATACTTTAGGATAGGACCTCCAAACTCCCATTCCTTAGAATCCTCTCCTTCTCACCACCTCTTATGAGGGGAAAAAGGGCACAAAAGATAACCTCAGTTGTGACAATTACAGGTCTTCCCTCCTCCCATAGTGACAAGGCTGACCAATAAAATCCCAGCTCCTTTTTCTACCTCTGCAAAGTGATCCAATTGGCTTTTATCTAAAATGAACAATTCCATAGAGTTGTGATAAATTATAAATTCCTATAAATTAAACATTTTAATTTCAAAGCTCTATGCCTACTAACTAAGGTCCTACTGAAAAGGGTACTTTGCTTGTGCAACCATTTGTGAGTATGATTCAATGAGTTATGCCACTAGTTAGATCCACAGCATGGCCAAAAAATACAAGTACTATATTATGGCCACAAGAATGAGGAGGGAGCAACCAAAGAGAGTATGGAGTTCCCAAAAACCCAGGGAAAAGATTATACAAAAGTACAAATGAGTGCTTGTCTCTGTCTGACTGCCTAATGGATTACGGAAAACTTCTGGAAAAATCATGGCCCACTCCTGCACTTCCAAGTATGAACCTCCTCTCCTTTCTTTTAAGTTCCCTGAGACTGTCTAGCATGCCAAAGGCTAGATAAATTTTCCATCCACTAAAAAGGTGGTGGTTACTTTTAGAAAGACATCTGCTTTAAAAAAAAAAAATTTAAAGGACTATTTCAGAAGAAAAATATACTTTCACAAAAAGAGAAGTTTCTGCGAAAGCAGGACAATTTACAAAACCAAATATTACAAACTTGAGAGAAATTCAGAGGCCACAGTTGTCCCCGGGGACAACTACCCAGACGAGCATGGCTATGCGGTATGTGGCACTGCAGATATGTCTGTGGTGCCACATATTCATCTGTTCCCCATGCTGCAAGGGAACCGGGATGGGGAGGGGGGGAGAGAGGGGCAGGGTTTTGACCCCTGGATATCCAGGAGTTAAAAAAAAAATGCACAAAAAAAAGTGGAGCTGTGCATGCAGGGGCAGCGTGCATGGCTCGAAACTGGAGCCTGGCCGGTCAGAGCCATGCTCTGGCTGTCAGCCAGGCTCCAAGCTGCAGAATCACTGCTGCAGCAGCCCTGGGAAGCCCCCAGGATGCCAGGTAAGGCTGCTGGGGTCAGCTCAGTGCTGGTCCCAGCCTCCCCTACCCCATTCAGCATAACCTGCCATGCGCCAGAGAGTGCATGACACGGGTGTTCCCCAGGAACAACTAGCGGCACCGTTAGTGTCCCCAGGGAACCAAACGTCCATGCTCATGTGGATGCAGCCACAGTCACTACCAAGGGACTCAAACTCCTTTACACAGAACCACATGCAGAAACTGTTATTTCAGGTATACTCAGGACTTGCCCCTTCAAATTAGCTCTCTATTGGTAATGGGCTCCTGTGCTGAAGTCCTTGAAGACCACAAACTTCATTATCTTCTATAGGAAGCTGGACTAAATTAAAACTTCAAGAATTAGACTAAAGAGAGAAGCTTCACTCTTCAATGTATAATGATAAACATTAATATAAGGGAAAACTGTTTGAGCAATCAGTCTGGTTTTTAACTCCTTTCAGATTAAAAAAAAATACTTCTGATATTAATCTCTTATTTGGCATATATTGAGAAAAAGTAACTCTCAAGTATCACATTGTGACACATCTACATATGTATAATTACATTTTTCTAAAAATATCACATCTGTAGAATTTATCATTTGATCTACTCTTTAAAATTCAGAAATAGATGAATAGCTCCTTTGAATATATTAAGTATTTAAAATTCTACAAATAGAAAATCTCTAACCAAGATAACACTTTAATGAATCTACTCCACTGCCTCAGAAGACTGCATCAAAAGGTATATCTAATCTAGTTAAGAGCTGGAAATGAAGAACCTATATATTTCCAGCACTATGTATTCTTAGTTACAACAATGGTATTTTCATTAATGAAATAAAACATAGATGGTACCCAAATTGTAGTGAGCCATGTTTTCAACAGAACGAGAAGAGCACCACAGTTGTAATGTCGCTACCTGCTGCGTTATGAGGTGCAAAAATGACAATAAAAGATGGTAGCCTAATTTGAACAGGAAAAAAACTTTGAAAGAAGGAACCTCACATATATTAAAATTCCAATTAATACTAGCAAGGTTGTCAGACACATGTAACAGAATCAAATAAAACATTCACTATGTTTCATGAAAAATATACTGCTGAATTAATAATTATTTTGTGTACTGCGCTGCATGTTTAGGTAATGACATCTTTATGAGTTTACAGTGGGATATTTTTTGTTTTATACTTTGCAAGATATATGTGCTCACATTTCATTTAATTTGTCATACAATTTCACTAGAAGATAGTTGTAAATGGAATTTACAGTAAAGTCGATGTGGGTTACAGCTGCATTTCAGGAGAAATTAACTGTTACATTTTCTTAAAATGCATCAATACCTAATTAAGGGGAAGGTGACAAATATACATTGCAAAGACTGATGAGAGAACTCCATAGCTTTGGCACCCAAGCCAGCCACCAAAAAAATTCAGGTACTTATGCAAACTTTATCAGAATTTACCTGAATTATTGGGACTCTATAACTGCAATGAATCTTAGATAAAAACAGCTTTTCATGAGGCTTTGGCTGCTAACTGCTCCTGCTCAGGCTGCAAGAATCTGAAAACAGCCCCTTTCTTGATAATATCATGTTTCTGGTCCTAAGGAGTGCGAGGAAATGATGCAATGCTATTAAGTTTTGTTTTGTTTAATTTTTAAATGCAGCAGTTAACACAGTAGGATTACTGAAATTACAGGGCCAGATTAGGAATTGCCTAAAACAATCCTAAATTATACCACTTTGCATCAGCTACCTGTACAATATCTTCAGGGAATTACCACAGAAAGTATTCACATATATATGGAAAATAAGTGAAAAATGTGTTCAGTGCAAGCTGCTTGTACCAATTATGGGGAATGAAAAGGTGTATCCAATGAATGTAAAACTGTCAGTCTTTTCAATTAATCTTACATATTACAGTTTTAAGTCTAAATGTATATTCTTATTACTTTCTATATATATGTAAAAAGAACATTTAATTAAGGGGTTCATGATCTGCATTTGATGCGATGAGAAGCTGCTCTATGAAAAATAAATACCCCTCAGTAATGCTTGGCTGCTGCCTTTCACATACATATTATTTTCCAGGCAATTTGGCAAATTTTCTACAATTGCCTCAAAAATGAAAACAAAAGATATACACTTCTCATAACAAAAGTATTAGGCCTTTGAAAAATACAATACTTAAAAAAATATTATTACAACGTCCTCTTGCAAGGGGCGACATAAGGTAGCAGAATCACTACTTACTGCGATCAGTAATGATTGTTCTGGCCTCTTGATTGGTAGTCTTGTTTTTCAGATTCTGTGCTGCAGTTATTAGCTCATCCAACTGGGGACGCCTTTGCTCCAAATCCTGTAGTGTTGCCTAATCATACAAAAGTAAACATATGAAACTAACAATAGTTCCAAGCAATTTTTGTAATTGTATTTCACTGTCATTAAAATACTATACCAGACGGGACCAGGGTGTCAATCTACCCCAGCAGCCTATTTTGAACGGCAACTCTTTCTGAACATTTCATTGGAGCAAGTCAAATGTTATACTGGACTGGATAGCTATGCAATTACAGGTCTGGAGAAAATTTTCTTCCCGAGTACTGGCACTGATCAGTTTTGTTTTGAAGCATGAGGGTTGATAGCATTTATACCTTTTTATATTATTATTATTAGCTGAAGATGATAATATTCTCATTCACTTAAATGTCTATTCCTTCTGTATGAGAGGCAAGAGCTTTTTAGACCTTTTACTGGACCAACTACTGTATAGGTGAGGGAAAATTTTGACAAGCTTGCAGGAACACACTACCTTTTCTCATGTCAGCCTTCTATGAATTCCACTAAAATCTTTAGGAAAAATGTTCAAGTGTTTTAGTTCCAAGCTTAGAGTACCAAATAAAACACTACCCATTGTCTCAGTACCATATGTACCACTGCAACCTATAGATTAATTATATACATATTAATCAAGATGACCTTTTACATTAGAGTCTGAACTGGGAAAAACTGGGCCAAACAAGGCAGACTGCTACTAACAGATCTATTGGCTCTTTCTAATGAGGAACAGTATTGAAGGAGTTTTGAGGTGTCACTTGTTGCATAAGGAATAATACCATTGTCAAAGGACTCCTGGGTCAGGGCACATATACACATGCTTAGTTTGCAGTAGTTTGATGCAGGAGTGAAACTGAAGCGTATTCACAATGTCCAGTCTTATGCTAGTTTAGTCACACCAGTCTGCAATAAAAAGTTACTGTCTGGAAAGAAAGGAGTGAAGTTTGTAGCAATGTAATTCACAGAAGTGTATCAGCTGAGTCTCCACTCCCTGAGCCAATCTCATCCCAGGATTGCCACTGCTCAGTGCAAATCACATCCTGCAACACCTAGCAGTCAGACACTGTAATAATACCTACTAAAGCAGGGGTGGGCAATTATTTTAGCTAGAGGGCTGCTTAACTAGTTTTGGTGAGCTGTCAAGGTCCACAAGGGTAACCCCGCCCCTTGACAGGTGCCCCACGCTCTGGTCACCATTTTAGGACTGGAAGTCCCATCCCTAATCCCTGACCTTTGCTACCAGAAGTACTCATTTTGGGAGAGGCGGATTGCCATCTTGGAACTGGGGAATAAAAACAACAAAAAAATCATATACTAAAAATCAAACACCTACTATAACATTTTAATTTTATTTAAAAAAATATTTTTGTCCTAATTGATGTATGTTTGTGTAGTGTATATAGAGGCAATTGCATAATAGCTCAAGGCAGAACCCCCTGATGGTGCACAGCTCCAGCCGTGTCCTGGGAGCTGCTCATGGTAGCATAGACCAGGGCCAGGCTGGTGGCTCCATTGCACAGGGCTCCCCATGGCTTATCTGCTCACCTGGCACTTGAGTGGATTTTTATGCTGCATGGAGGAGCCCCACAGGATGGATTCAGTGGCCTGGCCCTGCTGCCATGTGTGGCTCTCAGGTCTTGGCCAGAGTGGCAGGGAGTGGGGCCAAGCTGGCCCAGGTCCATTGTGTGGGGTTCCCTGCCAGTCCTGGCTGAGTCCTGGGATCTTCACATTGTGGCAGGGAGTGGGGTGAGGCTGCTGGCTCCATCCTGCACAGCTTTGGCTGAGTCCTGGGAGCTGCATGTGAGTCATGGGCAGCCCTGTGCTCCTGCTGTCCTGGGCCCCATACTCCTGCTGGTCTGGGCTCTGTACTCTCACCACCCTACCCCAGCTCCACCAGCTCTGGCCCTGGCACGGACTTCATGCTCCCATCCAGCTGCAGACAGTGGGAGTGCAGTGCACTGCTCCAGTGAGAGCAGGTGGGGCTCAGTCCCATGTGGAGCACAGTAGGGGCAGCAGTGGGCTGGGCCAGATGCAATCAATTTCTGGGCACCAGCCTACAGACTGGATTAAATCACTGATGGGCCGGATACAACCTACGGGCCATATTTTGGCCATCCGTGCATGAGAGGTAGCTATCTTTGGGTAGCTAGTTCTGTCTACTCTTTACTGTGGAGTATATTTCTAATGGAGTAAAATATGGTGTAAATTATCTGTAGAAATTATATCAAAGAATCATAGAAAATAAGGGTTGGAAGGGATTTTAGGAGGTTATCTAGTCTAACTCCCTTCTCAAAGCAGGACCAGCCCAATTAGATCATCAAAGTCAAGGCTTTGTCTAGCCAGGTCTTAAAAACCTCCAAGAACGGAGATTCCAGAACCTCTCTGGGTAGTCTGTTCTAGCACTTCACTACCCTCCTCATGAGAAAGTTTTTCCTAATATCTAACCTAAACTTCCCATGGCTCCAATTTGTGATCATGTGACCACACTTTCTGTTAATCCTCCATGATCTGTCAGTGGATGGGGAAAATACTTTCAGATACTTAGGCCTCATGGATTTAGTCTACATTGAGGCTCTGCACTTCAGTCCAGATGTGGAAAACAGGTTTATTTATTTCATGGCTAATTGGAAATTGTGAAGGAAACTTAAATGGAAATATTTTGCAAGCTGATTTAAAGCACTAAGACTTTATGCTACATGAAATAGACTTTTAACACATTACAAATAACACTGTTGTGAGGCATAAGATTCAATAGATTTTTTAATAACTGCTAAAGAAATAACCCTATAGAATTAAACAGAAAGCAATGACCTTTCTCTAAAGTTTTTGAAGCAGCCACAGAATTACAAGGTGAATAATATCCTTGGTAAAAAGGAACAGAAAGGATATGGTAATATTAAACTCTTGTTTTTTACAATATATTTTGGTTGAACCTTATATCAATATGAATTTGATACAATTCCCATTAAATTCTGTAGAACTTTTCTACAGTACAAGAGTTTTAGTAAAAACCTTTACCACTTTAAACTGTTTTTAAGATCAATGTAAGATGGCAGGTGCCTTACAATGATCCCACTGTATCACCTACTTATTTAGCTGAAAAGTCTTCTAGTAGTTGTGATTGTTTATAGAGTATTTAAGCAGACAAGTAGAACCCTGTAAGTATGACTTGAGATCCAGAGAGTGAGCTGGTGGGCTACAATTTTCACAGATAATCAAGATAGTTGTCAAAAATGTATTGCAAATTTCAGGAAAGGCACCAATATATAGGAATACATCAAAAATTCCACCAGAAGAATCGTTTCCACCAGGATGAGCTGGATCCTCCCCCTATATAAACTGCCTTAAGCAGCAACCTAGAAGCAACACTAGAAGGGTTTTGGCCATTCTGTAAGTCTGAAATGTGTTCACTCTGTTTGATTTGGTCTGTTTTTACGTGCTGATAATTTGTGTAATCTTCAGCTGCAGCATTGCTCATTTCAGTGTGCAACAGCTGGTTTTTTTAACCACATTGGTTTATCAGTTGGGTGCTAAAGATCCAACATACCTTTGGGAAGGAATTCCTAGATCTGGGTAACAGGTTTATAATGGACAGCTCTTGCTATTGTGGATATGATCATTAGCCCACTCACAATAGAAGCACCCTTTGTCTCTGCAGCTTTGCTGTCAATAAATAGAGATCTACCTACATAGCTGCAAATTACACATAATGTTATACATTTTGAGACACATCAATGTTATGACTGTGAAATATGATTGAGTCAGTGAGAGGAAATAATTGTATGTTGGGTAATAAGAACTGCTTTTATAACTGCATGCACTACTCTATATTTGGGGCTTGGAAGGAATAATTAGGGAAGTGACACAATGGCTTCCCATATAAGAACATCCAAGCATTCAATTCAAGATATGATGAACCAAAAGGGATCAGCTTCAAAAACAGTACAACCTCTCTCAACAGAAAAGATGCCATTCCAATTTGCCAGACTTGGAAATGAAAAGTATTATATGCAGTTAGATAACATTCTGCCCCCAGCCCTGTTTCCTGGAAAAAAGGGATTTGAGTTATGAAGTTGTTCATGATTTTGTTTTGTGGTTTCCCATTCATTATGTTTTCAGGTGTTTTTTAGTAACAGCTATAAATCAGTTTAGAAACGAAGTGTTTTTAACCAAGTCTATGTGACTATATAACAAAAAATTCTATAAACATACTCTTCTGGGATCTTTTCCCTTCACTAGTATATTGGAGGCTGTAGAAGGAACATTTCTGGCTGCCTGTGTTCATGCCCATGTACTTGGATGGCATTATGTTGACTTTCTTGTTGATTATATTACTTACCGGAACAAAGGTTTCAAATAACAATGAGTTTAAATATGCAGTTTACATAAATCAGAGAGTATTGTGTTCACAAGAAGTCCTTTATCTGTGATGGCACTCAAACATACACTGCCATAATGGGTTTTATATTTTAACGTTGCTAGATATTTTAGTATTCCTGAAACTCTGGAACCCTGTCTTGAAGAGCTGGAAACTCACCCAATCAATGAAGTGGATGAAGCGGTTATTTTGTTTCATTTCATAAAAATTATAAAATGAAACAAAATAACCACAATGCAATGTTCGGATGCTGTTTGCTAATGTTTGCACAACTGACAGCCAAACCCACTGTGGGAGCATCTACGTGAGACGTTGACTACACAGTAGCTGAAAAATATTGTGTAGTAGCGTGTCACAGCATGGACAGTACTAATATGCTACTGGCACAGTATTATTAGGCTACTGTGCACTATCATGAAGAAAAATAAATTTGCCAGAGCTGCTGTACAGTTACTTTGGTTACTGTGCATTGATTTAGTACTTGCAAATACAAGTACTAAATAATGTGCAGTAACAAGTACTCAGTAGCATCAGATGTGCTCTGTATGGAGAGAACATCTCAACACAAACATTTAAACCCATTAAATATCCATCCATTCATAAATATATTTATCCTGCTTACCCTATATGGTGTGTCAAACATTCAACTTAATACT